AAACATAAAAGTTTTTAAAAGAAACACAAATTCAAACAATAAGTATAAATTTAAAGTCACGCATGTGTGCTCATTATTATGTATTTTTCAGTGTGGTATGTATAATTTAATATTTTATTATAGCAGAGTAGATTAATGTTTAGAATGCAAGAACTATAATATGAATTTTAAAAGTTTGGCAAGTCTTATTCTTGTAAGAAAGATATCATCTTGAGCCACTTATGATCATGATTTTCAAAGTTCAAATTTTTTATGAAAAATATTTGTATTATTGCTTAAAAATATGTTAGAAAATCATAATTATTAAATGCAGTGTGTAGCGTCTTTGTAATCCAAAACGAGTTGGTAGACGAACAGACAGCAATTGGTTAGAAAACGTACGTTTTATTTAATTTCATAATTATTAGTTAAAATGATCATTATGATATCAAAATTTAACAGTTTCTGATATGAAATTTTAAAAAATCTAAAAACTAACTGTAATGATATTAATATATTATAAATAGTATTTAAAATATGTTGTATTATATATATATTTAATATATTTAAATTTCATAAACAATATTAAAAACATCAAATCATTTAAGTTAATATTACTGCAAAATATAATAAAATTAAAATTTTCTGGAGTTAAAAATAGGCTGATTTACAAAGGCTGTTCCAAAAATATATAGGCTGGCAAAACTATTCAGTATGCATGAATTGAGATGCCAACCCTAATAGCATATTTCCTCTACCAAATTTTAACTGTGTGGATGATCTATTGTGTTCTATGATTGTATTATTATTAATTATTTTCAACTTGGTGAATTTTGTTTACCTTGGTGAACAAAATTCACCAAGGTAAACAAAATTCAATACTTTTCAAGTTATTATAGAAATTGCAATAGAATTTTATGTAAAACTGGAAGTACATTGTCAGAAAACATTCACTTTAATTTACAAAGATTAGAGACAAGCTTTTAGGTTAAACAACCATTTTTATGAAACATTCAAAAAGAGGAAACATTTAGTGAAGAAATGAATGCCCAAGTAAGTGAATTGATGCACAAATGCTGCAAAAATAGAATTTTTGAAAGTAGACCTCTCCCTCTCACTCTGAATTAGTTTTATCCTCAATGCTAGTTCAACAAGATGGTATTAAATTGTGCATAACAGGTTATAGATGTCAAGTTTTTATAAAATGATAGCTAGATTTAACCAAAGTGAATAAAAAAAAATTAAACCAAGTTGTCAAACAATTACTCCAGAATGCAGAAAATAAACCTGATTTTTTAAAGATTAATATTACCATTAATTAATTTAAACTTTATCAAAAGTCAAGCATTTTGATCCAGAAACAAAGCAACATTGTCTACATGAAAACATCATTCATCATAGCAAAAAAAATGTCTATCAATATGGAAACTCACATTAGTATTGTTGTTTCAGACAAGAAGCACCATACTGGCCAATTTGACCAGAACAAGATAAGCTTCTCTTCAATTTTCTTACATATAATGTTGCTTTTGCGACTTTTATTGATTTTTGACATAGGATGAATGAATGAAATATTTTTTACAAAATTTTTAATAATTAACAGGTATTATATATGTTTATTACATAATTATTGGGATGAAATATATATTTTTATTTATGAAACCCACAGAAACAGCAAGAAAACATTCCTTTACTCTTGTAAAAGTATGGGAACATAATTCAAACAACATATGTTAAATTATATATGTTTACTTAAAAGTGCCGATTATGGTCATAACGATCAGTATTGAGAATGACTGTTTCTACAGTTATAAAGAATCAAACAAATATCAGCATATACATTATTATCAACAAAGAGTTTAGTTTTCAAATGTTATAATGGCAATGACGAAAAGAAAATGATGAATGTCAGGACAGTCTATATTTACAATTATTGCAAATTAATGATGATGGGAAATCTAATAGTGAAACAGAAAATAATTTTCAGCATAAAAGTAATTAATCAGTAAATTTCTCTAGTACAACCTCAAATAAAGACAGTAATGTCAATTTGCCATCTCCTGATCCTTCTATGGTAAATTAGTGTAGCCAGAAATATTTAGCAACTTCCAATTGAAACCAATTGAAAGATGAAACTAATGATTGACCTCTATTTAGATGTTAAACACATGAAAAAAGCCCAGAAAACTCCATATGGTTAGCCCATTTGTAAGATGTAAACCCACAACCAAACTACAAGCATTCAGTGATTTTTATCGATTTGGCTAATGGTGACCATTCATTTTAGAGCTGGCAGAAAATCTTTGAAGTGACACATTAGCATAAAAGTACTGTACTTTCAGCTCTAACACTAAGAACATCAAAATCTGTTAAAGTCAAATGACATAAATACCAAGATTGAAAGTGGGCTAAAAGCGAGCATGCAAAAAAAAAATCTGAAAGTCATGCAAAAAAGAAAAAAAAAAATATGTATTGGATTTTGTATTATGTTTACTTTTAAATGGAAAATGCATGATTACAACTATAACCTAAATAATGTTCATTTCTCATACAAAAGCAGTTTAAAAAGGTTTTGTGTCCTTCAACCAGCTGTGCTGTGTGTCAGTTATCTAAAATAAAAAATAATTTGCAACAAACAAGCAAACCCTTTAGAAACTTTTTTAGAATAAATGGGGCATTTTTATACTTGTTGTATTAACTGGCAATGACACTTGGGTAAAATGATTCCATGATGTTTCTAGTGTTAACGTGAAATGAATGATTTTACAGCACTAGATACTGCAAGGACAAACTGTGAATAAGGTATATTACATAGACATTGTGCAAATTTGTGAGAAATATCAACAATAATAATAGTTGAAGACAAAACAGTTTCTTCTGTAGGATAATGCCAAACTTCATGTTCTGAACAACCCAATAAGCACTATGAGACATAGACTGGATCACCTGGCTTTCAGTCCAGATTTTATTCATACAATTTTTTAGTATTTTCTAACTTGAAAAGAAACAAGCTGAAAACCAACTTCAACTGAAACATGAAAAATGTAATGGCTGCTATATTAAAAAACTTTCAAAAAATACTCTAACATACATTTGAAAAATCTGTCAAATGCTTCTTAAATACTAAATAAACATGTTTCCTAGAAAAGGGAAAAAACATTTAAACTTATAATGACAATAAAAAGTCAGAATAATAAAGTGAGTTTGCATATTTTCAGGCAACTGTAATATACAATGCAAGTCAAAAGTCCCTTGAACCCTTTTCATCCTAAAAGTACTAAAGATATATTAAAGAAAATATAAAGATAGAATTCTGTTAATGTAGTTAAATAGAAAGTTACACATGGAGAATTGGATGGGATTTTTTTGTTGATCTTGAAAATCATTTTCATGATCACTTATGTTGTAACTTCTTAATGAGCAAAGATAATGTAAAAAGTTTCAATGACAAAGTTAAAGAGTACCATTTAGTCTGAAACTATTTTCAAATTCAAAGAAAATTCAAATACATTTAGGGCTGCATAGTTTGCAAGTTTAAATTTAGGAGGAATAAAAGTGATTTGATGTAATGTTTTAAGGTCACATAAAACAAAATGTAATTTAGCAAGAAAGAAAAAATGGACAAATAGTTAGAAATGAAAAGCCAATTTGATTAGATGAAAAGAAAACAACTGTTAGACTGAATTTAACTTAATTCAAGATTTATATGTTTAAAACTTTTTATTTGTAAATAGAAATTTCATCGTGAATTACAAACAAAAGTTGGTTAAGGAAAATTTTGTGACAATTCTTCAGTACTTGTATGGATTTTCTCTAAAGCACATACACTAAAACAATAGTTTAAGAATAACTATTCTCAAGCAATTCATTGCATCAAGTTTTCAAATGTTCAGTATCACCTGAAAAATATATACATATGTTAATATTACCATCAGAAGAAGATAATTATTCTGCAAATACAATTTTGAACTGCAAACATATTTTGAACAATGCATATTAATGATTCTATCACATCATTTAAAATCACATATTTCAAATATTCATAATTTAGAAATAAACTGTAATTGTTTTTTTTAATGTTATATTATATTCAATTAAAAAAAGCAATAAAATGTTTGAAAAATGATTCAATAAAATCATCTAGGTATTCATATGAGAGAAAAAAAAGGGAGAAATGAGGCTAAATAATAAAACAGTTAAATTTGAAAAACTAGCTAAAACAACATTCATTCTTGCATCATAGAAACCAAAGATGTTAGATTTCCAAAATATTTTTTAGAAATAAACGAAATTTGTAAAAAACATTTTGAAAAACTGACTAAATATGTTGAGTAAAAAAGAAATATTGAAACTAAATTTTATATTTTGCACTTATTTCAAATTATCCATGATGAAAAAATACATACTAACACTCCAATTACCTGAATGTGGACTATCCTCTTGATTAACAATTATCCAGACTGCCCTTCAACTTTGTTAAAAACAAACAGACATTCACATATATGTACTGTATATGCATAAAAAGTAATTTTTCTAATTGTAAAAAATATACTATATTCATTTGTATGTATGTATGTACATGTCTGCATTTGACATTTATTTCACATAATTATGTCAAAACATACATAATGGGGCATTTGAATAGGAACAGGAAACTATTTTAAGCAAAACATCCAATTATCCAGATGGCCTGAGGTCCCAATTAATTTGGATAATTGGAGTTTTATATTACTCAATGAGGTGCAATTAATTTGGATAACACTTATGTAAAAGAAAGGTTTTTGCAAGTTTATATTTATAGAAAAATATACTGAAGCAGATAAATGTCAATTTACATAATTATTTTATTGTCATAACACAATTTTAATTTATCAGACAATTTTCTATATTGATTTTTCAAGAGAATATTTTAATGTTATACAAGTGCTATCATCAACAAAATAATTTTTAATATTTTGATATCTAAACTTTTTAAAAGGAATACTAAAACCAAAAACCTGTAACATTATATAATTACTTACTTTCTGTATTTCACGAATCCAACGATTAACACCATTCTGCAACTGATTTAAAAAAGTTGAATCTTCAACTTTGTCACCAAAGTCGTTTACTGTAGCTTTACGACCTTCTTCAGTAGTTTTCTTAATTGTAGAAGCAACAAGAGCATGAATTGGTAATGTAATCTCTGGTATATCAATATTTTGTTGAAGATGCAATAATCCCATTTCTAACTCAGCAATTTTCTTTTCTACAGTTGGTGCCATCTTATCACCATCTCTGAGAAATAAAAATTTCTCAAAAATTTGAATTACAATAATCAATTCCTTAAAATAAAGTTACAGATATCATAAAAAAAACTGTAAAGTATTTGAGTATTTAATTCCAACTCTCATAGTTAAAACTGGGCTTCTATATAGGCTAAATAAGCAAGTTAAAATTTTTTTTTAATCAAATCAACATAAATCAAATAAAACATTTTTCCAACTGGAAGATAAAATAACTCTAAATCAAACTAAGACAAGTAAGTTAAACTAAAAGAATTGGCACATATAAAATCAGTATAATAAACGTGTAAGGATTTTCACATTAACAATACAATATTTCTGTTTTCCCCCAATGTGAAAAAAATCTAAACTGATAGTATAAGAAATTTTTAGTAGTGTTCTTTTAGTCACCAGACAAAATTTTCTGGTTATCAACCAGAAATTTCCAGGTCCACATTACTTAATTTTGAAATTCAATAAAACTAAAAATTATCTCACCTTTCTGCACGTCCTGTTTCTCTTACATAGGACTTAAAATATGGAGCAACTGCACTGCTGATATAAGAATGAAGTGTTTCATATGGTGAGGAATCATTTAAATTCATTATACGAAGCTGATGAGCTATTTTTTTATCTGCTTCAATCACAGTTGATGTTTTAATGATGACAATACTGAAAAATTTAAAAACTTTTATTAAAAATTATTTTATATAGTTTATAAGAAAATAGCAATAATTTATATAAGGAAATTAATATATTTCAAAGAATTTGTCTTAACATCCATATACAAAACTACAAACATGCACTCCTAAATGGATTTGAACTGAAAGTTTTGAGTAGGATTTGAACTTTCAGTTTAAATCCTACTCAAAAGTTGAATTTCAGATATTCAAAATTATTAAATCATCTAATTATTAAAATTAAGAGATTATGACATTCTTACCTCTAACAACTAATTATCAATAATTGAGGTAAGTTACCCTAATTAAGCTAACTGATTTAGCATATATTTTGTTTATATTTTGCTTAACCAAACTCTAAACACTATCATTATATTCATTATATATATATATATATATATATTTATATGTAT